TTATATGTACCCTGACTAGAGATTGAACCCACAACCTTGGTGTATCAGGACGACATCCTACCAACTAAGCTACCTGGCCAGGGCTATACAAAGACACTTTACCAGCTAGAATATTCCTTGGGCTTAAAAATTAGCTCCCCGGAGTCTGTCAGGTGCCAGTCCTTTCTTTGGCATGTACAGAGTCTGAACACCCTAAATCTACTGAGTTAATCCTTTACTGCACATCTATTTTATGCATTAAGGGAATCCTCTTTGATCTTAAGTTGCACTGTTTTTATCTATCTATGTCAAGAGATGATCAACCAAAATTACAGAACCCCTAGAGACACAGTATTATGGTCCCTGGATTATAAAAGCCTATTTTACTACCATGATTATAGAGAAGAGAATTAAGAAAAAGAAGACTAAAAAAATATGTCACCAGAAAATATTTGGACCTTACAGATAATATTTTAAAAAACAGATAACTTCCTTGTTAATGAATTTCCTCTCCTTCTACTCTAGTTAATTTCATATCTACTGGTTGCTGAGTAATGAGAAAAGTTGAAAATCAAATCTCTGCTATTGAGAGACATAGTTTCATGATCAGTTTAGGCAGGGTATAAGCAACAGAAGGAAAAGGAGGTCAGTTATAAATTGGTCAATGTTATTACCATTTTGGAGAAAGGTTGGATTTACAGTAATGAATAATCCCAGTCCTTGTCCTCAAAGAGTTTGCAGACGAGTAACTGGACACAGCTATGAGGCAATACAGTAAGCGTTAGGATAAAGCCACAGGGAGCTGCAATTAGAGGCTGCAGAGAGAGAGTGATCCTGTTCATGGCAGATGATGGGGAGTGCTTGCTTCTTAAAGGAGTTGACTTTAAAGTAATTCATCATAAAAGTACAGAAAAGTTATTGAAGAACCCTTATTATCAGGTCTCCAAATACCCTTCTTAGCCTCTTTCCTTTTGCATTTGCTGTTTCCTAAGCCAGATATATGTTTCTTTCTTCCCTTGCTCTGTACCCCCATTTCCCTACAACCCTTATGGTGTTTCAGGTTTCAGAAGAATGTCATTCAAGGCAATTGGAACAATTACAATGGACAAGAAGACAAAGATTTTATACATTAATGTTTTTTCCTTCACAGCCATTTATTGATATATTTTGCTTGCCTTCCAAGACAGCAAGATATTCTGGTTTTCCTCCCACTTTTCTGACCACTGCTTCTCAATCTGTTTTGACGGTTTGTCCTCCTTGAGTACTGCACTCAAATCCAAGGGCACAAGTAAACCAATCCCCCAATCCCATCATTAGGGGATCTATCTCCCGGGACTACTCCTAACATCGATTCTATAGCAGTCTGGGTCCAATCAGGAAATAGAAATCACACAGTAGATTAAACAGGAGATGTTTAATATAAGAATAATTAGTAATAATAAAAGAATAAGTATAAGATATAAAGTATCTCTAAATAGTACTCTAGGGTTGAGGGAGAGTACCCGAGGAAGAATAAATTTGAGATGGGTTCAGATCTCAAGTGCAGAAAGACTTCAGAGAGCATGGGCTACACCAAGTGGTTTGCAGAGGGAGCAGTAGTTCTGTGTGGACTTCCTGGGCCATAGGTGGGCTGCACACTGGGCCTGCAGAAAGCCCAGCTGCCTGGTGTGTTGAGCAACTCTCTGGACCACAGGCCTGACAGGGATCTTGGTTTCCCAGCCTAGTAAGCTGTAGACAGGCTATGGCCAGGCCCAGGCTGCAAGATCCCAAAGGAACCACTCTCAGGGCCTGTGCCCGGGATAGGCTCTGTCAGATTTTCTCATACCCACAAGGCCTTTTCCTTACTCAGCCCCCTTCCACTCCCTCCACTATGCTGGAAATCGCAGGAAACTTCTTCCTCCTGCAGTGTCCCTTCAGCAACCTCTACTGAGAAAGCTTAACATAGAGGGCACTTGACAATAGAAATGTTTAGAAGAATTCTTTATCAGAAAGCATATATTAAGCCCTAGCTGGTGTAGCTCAGTGGATTGAGCGCGGGCCTGCGAACCAGACAATCACGGTTCGATTCCCAGTCAGGGCACATGCCTGTGTTGCAGACCAGTCCCTGCAAGCAGGGGATGCACGAAAGGCAACCATACATTGATGTTTCTCTCCCTCTCTCCTTCCCTTCCCCTCTAAAGATAAATAAATAAAATATTTTTAAAAAGAAAGCATATATTAAAAGGATGTATATGCAACTGAGAGACAATAAGCTGGTAACTGACACATCTCATACCTCACAAGCTCAAGCCACACTTGTTTGAACAACTAGGCATAGTCCCACCTTAAGTCCTTTGCATTAACTTTTCCTTCTGCCTGGAATTCTCTTCCCTGCGTATCCCCTCCTTTATTCTTTGCTCAAATGTCACTCTCCTAGTATTTTAGTATTATGCCATTCCTCATTTCTGATCCCTCTTGCACTATTTTTTCCTTCTTTAAAAAAATTTTTATTTATCAATTTGAGGGAAAGAGAAAGGAAGAGAAGGAGTGATAGAGATAGAGATAAATAGGTAGGTAGGTAGGTAGGTAGGTAGGTAGATAGATGATAGATAGATAGATTTGTTGTTCCACTTGTCTATGCATTCATTGGTTGATTCTTGTATGTGGCCCAACCAGGGATCAAAGCTGCAATTTTGGCATATTGGGACAATGCTCTAACCATCTGGCCAAGGCCTTATTTTTATTCTTTTTTCAGTACAGCTTATCATCTTCATTATATAATTAACATATATATTATATTCATTGTGTTTCTCCATGTCAAAATGCAAGTTCCAGGAGGGCAAGGATCTGTGTTTATCAGTATCCCAAGAATCAAGAATAGTAGGTGCTCAAATATTTATTGACTAAGTGAATTACTGAGACAAACATGAAACATAAAGCGTAAAATGTAAAATCAAGTACGGAAAATATATACCCACCAAGGAGTCTCTTGGTTTTTATTTTTCTTCTAGAATAAGTCCAAGATCCAGGCCCTGGCTGGTGTAGCATAGTGGGCTGAATGCTGGCCTGTGAACAAAAGGGTTGCTGGTTCAATTTCCAGTCAGGGCACATGCCTGGGTTGCAGGCCAGGTTCCCAGTTGAGAGCATGTAAGAGGCAACCACACAATAATGTTTGTGTTCCCCTCTTTCTCTCTTACTTCCCCTCTGTCTAAAAATAAATTTTTTTCAAAGTTCATAATTCACATCAAGATTTAACTGAAAAGTCATTCCCTCTATAATCTGGATACTGTTTGCTGCAGCCAGATTGAGTGAGGAACACATTTTCCTCCTTTGACAGGACATCAGCAGAGGTGTTTAATTCTGGCCCAGTGGACTGTTGCTTGCATGTTTTTGGATAAGCAAATACCAGTGGACCTTTGAAGACTTTGGAAATGGCTGGAAGACAGCATTAAGCTACCTGCAGAGTCATTTCCTGGATTCCACAACAAGCAACTAGAGCCCTTGGAGGAAAAATTAGAACCATAGAGCAGAGGACTTCAGAATGGAGCAGACACCTTGACTGGTGTGGTTCAGTGGGTTGGGTGTCGTCTGCATACTAAAAGGTCACTAGTTGGATTCCTGGTCACAGTACACGCCTGGGTTGTGGGCCAGGACCCCGGTTGGAGGCGTGTGAGAGGCAACCAATTGATGTTTCTGTCTAACATCGATTTTTCTCTCCCTCTCTTTCTTCCTTCCTTCTCTGTTCTCTAAAATTGGGGCGGGGGACTGGAATTGAGCAGGCATACCCATGGGCATCCCAGAATACTGCTCAACTACATTTGCAGTTTTAAGGAAATGGATTTCCAAATTTCAACTTCCCTGATTTTACTCTTCCCTGAACTTGGTTGGCTTACGAACAAGGCTGACTACACAACAGTCCTTCCATTTTACAAAGTACATCTCTTGCATCACAATTCAAACTACAGCTAACTACCCAGGTGTAAGAAAACCTCTTTGTCCTAAATAAAGGTATATATCAAATTACTGTATTCAGGGAAGCCTTTTAAACAATTAATCCATTGGAATATACTGAAATAAAATGTGGTCCATACATAGAATGGTATTATTATTCAGCCTTAAAAAGGAAGGCTGACACATGCGCAACATGGATAAACCTTGAGGACGTTATCTGAAGTGAAATAAGCCAGTTACAAAGACTGTGTAATTCCACTTCCATGAGGTAACTAGAACAGTCAATTCATAGAGACAGAAAGTGGAAGGGTGCTAGGGGCTGGAGAGGGGGAGCACTGGGATGTTAGTGTTTAATGGGTAGAGTGTTTCAGTTGTCCGAGATGAAGAGTTATAGAGATGGATGGTGGTGAGGGCTGCACAGCAATGTTAATGTATTTAATTTCACCGAACCGTGTGGTATTAAGAAGTAATCAAGGCATTCTCAACTCAAGGGGTTCCTGTCTCATTTGTATAACTATGAAGGACTCGATTTTAGACATAGATTTTTGAAAGCCTGTATTGAGAAGTCTGGAATCTGAACAGCTGATGCAGCATGGCTTATTTAAAGTGTATAATTTTTATGAGTTTTTGAGAACCAATGGGTAAAACCCACAAATAAGAACTTCATGCAATTTCTTTAAAATTTTGTGTGCTTTTAAGAAATCAAAAATAAACACTTATTCCATAAAAATAAATATTCCAATTACAATCAATCTTAATCTCTTTCAGTGTTGTAACAGGTGAACATTTTATTTTTCCCATTAATAAAATCCCTTGTTTTTAAAACTTAACATTGAAAAAGTTTGTAAATTTCAATGCACAAGAAAGCCTGTAGATTTCCAAAATTCATTTAGGCAGTATGCCAGCAAGTGCGTCTGGCAGTGAATACTCCTGAGAGTGTTTCCTGCTTGTTCCGGGTTAGGTTTTTGAGGCAGTGGCATAGATGACACTGGAGAGGCAGAATATTAGCATCTCTCCTCGGCCCGGGCGATCTGTCTAGTCGCGGTGGGGGCGTGGCCCCCCGTGACCTCTCAGCGTGGGTTCACCTTTCTTGCGTGCTTCCTGGTCAGCTGTGTTCCCGCCAGACTTTCAAGTTTTAAGTTTCATTTCCGAGACTGCTCGTTCCTCTTCCCGCGGCGTCTCGAAGCGGATAGCAGAGAGTGCCAGGCATGGATCCTCAGCCCCGAAAGGCGACGCGCTCAGCTTCGAAGGCCTCGTCTGCCACCTTCGAGGTTATGGTGCAGATTACGAAGGGCGCCCCGACAAAGCCCGCCCAGACGAAGCCCACCCCGACGGAGTCCACCCGGAAGAAGCCCACAACGACGAAGCCCACACCGACGAAGCCCACACCGACGAAGCCCACACCGACGAAGCCCACACCGACGAAGCCCAGCGAGTGTCTGGTAGTCCCCAATGCTGCCCGGCCGGAAGAGCAGAAGTGCTCCACCAGGGCGTCGAGATCCCAGCGGAAAAAGAGCGCCCCCGGCCCCCAGAAGATGCCGCAGGTACGCGCACGGGGTGCGCGCACTAAGAAGGCGCCTCAGAGCGCCGAGGATTTTTTGGACGGCCAGGCAATTCTGGCTGAGCCACCGGCGGCCCAGCAGCCGCCCCTTCCCAGGGTTGGATCTTGCCGCGAGAGGGGCGCTCGCTCTGCTCGGGAGCAGAAATCCCAGCCCTGGCCTGTGGAGGACCCCTGCCAGCACCCGCTCGTCCCAGCGCCTAGTCTCGCCGGGAGGGAGGTGGCTCCCTGCAGCTGGAAGCCCAAGGCGGTGCTGAGTAAGTTGAGGCTGAGCCGCTCCGAAATCTCAGCAGCAGCTGAGGTCGTGAACGAGGTCGTGGACCACCTGCTACGTAGACTGCAGAGCTCCCAGTCCGAGTTCAAAGGTGTGGAACTGCTACGTACTGGGAGCTACTACGAGCAAGTGAAGGTGAGCTGGTAATCGCCTCCCCTACTGTGCCCCAGGCGCACGGCCGAGCTTCCTCGCCCCTCTCCCAGCCTCCCCGATATTCCCACCTCCCACTGTCCCTCACTTTCCTTTGGAAGAAACTCAGACTCTACTTCTTCATTTCTGATTAAAACGACGACGAACAGTCGTGCGTCCGTTTATTCATCACTACACCCAACGAACATAGAGCCTGCCCTTATTGATTGCTAGCCACTGTAAGACACTGCTATTGGAAGAATTCAAATGTATAGATTCATTCATGCAAGCAGACCTGTATTGTGTTTGTCTAACAGTGCTATATCGTTGGTGGTTCTTGGTCAGATTATGACTTGGATGATTAGGAGTGATCTGTGAAAAAATCCACAAACTTAATATGTCTAAGAAACTTTTTTTCTATGAGGACCTATATGCTCCAAAGAAAAAATATTTCCAGTCTTTTCCTCCAGACTTCGCAGACCCACTGTCTTATCAATTTCTTTTTTTTTCAAAAATATATATTATTGATTATGGCATTACAGTTGTCCCATTTTTCCCTCCCCTTTATTCCCCTCTGCCCTGTACTCCCCTCTCCCACCATCATTCCCCCCCTTTAGTTCATGTCCATGGGTCATACATATAAAAGGTTTTTGGCTTATACTTTTCCTATACTATTCTTTCCTGTCTGTATTCTACCTACTATCCATGCTACTTATTCTCTGTATCTTTTCTTCCTCTCTCCTCCTCCCACACCCCTGTTGATAACCTTCTATGTGATCTCCATTTCTGTGGTTCTGTTCCTGTTCTAGCTGTTTGCTTAGTTTACTTTTGTTTTTGTTTTAGGTGTAGTTGTTAATAATTATGAGTTTGCTGTCATTTTACTGTTCATATTTTTATCTTCTTTTTCTTAGGTAAATCCCTTTAATATTTCATATAATAATGGCTTGCTGATAATGAACTCTTTTAACTTGACCTTATCTGAGAAGCACTTTATCTGCCCTTCCATTCTGGATGAAAGCTTTGCTGGGTAGAGCAATCTTGGTTGTAGGTCTTTGGTTTTCATGACTTGGAATACCTCTTTCCAGCCCCTTCTTGCCTGTAAGGTCTCTTTTGAGAAATCAGCTGACAGTCTGATGGGAACTCCTTTGTAGGTGACTGTCCCCTTATCTCTTGCTGCTTCTAGGATTCTCTCCTTCATTTTAATCTTGGCTAATATAATTATGATGTGCCTTGGTATGTTCCTTCTTGGGTCCAACTTCTTTGGTACTCTCTGAGCTTCCTAGATTTCCTGGAAGTCTATTTCCTTTGCCAGATTGGGGAAGTTCTCCTTTATTATTTGTTCAGATAAGATTTCCACTTGCTGTTTCTCTTCCCCTTCTGGTACCCCTATAATTCGGATATTGGAGTGTTTAAAGATGTCCTGGAGGTTCCTAAACCTCTCCTCATGTTTTGAATTCTTGTTTCTTCATTTTTTTCTGGTTGGATATTTCTTTCTTCCTTCTGATTCACACTGTTGATTTGAGTCCCAGTTTCCTTTCCATCACTATTGTTTCCCTGTACATTTTCCTTTACTTCACTTAGCATAGACTTCATTTTTTTAAATCTGATTTGTGATCAAATTTAACCAGTTCTGTGAGCATCCTGATTACCAGTGTTTTGAACTGTGCATCTGATAGGTTGGCTATCTCTTCATCACTTGATTGTATTTTTTCTGGAGTTTTGATCTGTTCTTTTGTTTGGGCCATTTTTTTGTCTTGACGCACCTGTTATGTAGTGAGGGGCAGAGCCTTAGGTGTTCATTAGGGTGGGGCAACCCACACGGCTGAGTCGTGGCCCTGTATGTGGAGAGGGGTCTGAGAGGGAACAATGGTGGTTGCCCTGCTCTCTGCTGGGTTTCAGTCACCTCCCCCACTTCCCACAAGCAAATTAGGCCCTTTTGATACTGATTCCTGGGGGGCTGGGTTTGTGTACGTTCTAGGACTTTGTGGGTCTCTCTAATGAGCTCTCCTGTGAGGCTGGGAGTTTCTCCTGCTGACACCTCAATCCCTACAAATGTTTACAATTGGTAGTTTGAGGCTTAATTTTTTTTGCACTGGGGCCCTGGGTTGTGCAGTCCATCCTGCTCCCTAGTTTTTCCTCCTGGTTTATCTGCACAGCAGTGTGGGACCATCTGCTCCACCAGGTGCTGCCGTGCCCTCCCTGGTCCTCCGGCTGTGACCTTGCCACAAGTCCTCTCCACCCAGCTCCCCATCTCCACCCCTCCTACTGGTCTGGATGAATGTTTCTTCTTCAACTCCTCGGTTGTCAGACTTCCATACGGTTTTATTTTCTGTCAGCTCTGCTTGTTTTTGTTTTTAAATTATTGTCCTTTTGGTTGTGCAAGGAGGCTCAGTGTGTCTACCTATGCCTCCATCTTGGCTGGAAGTCTGTCTTGCCAGTTTCTTATAGAGATATTATGGGAAGCTCACAGAGAGTGTTGTTAAACGAAATTTAAGAGAAAAACTCCTACAGATACTAAAAAGCATGCTTCCTAACTACACATCAGCTATAACTGTTTTTAAGTGTGTATTCCACAGCTCCATTTGTTTGTGGGTGGTTGTCATTAAAGCCATCACTCCAGTATAAATCAAAGGTTTAGGAGTAGGTTCCTGATTGGAGTTTATTTTCTGAACAGTGGCAGTGGTGAAAGTGGACAATCTTGTCTTGTTCTTGATCTTAAGGAAAATGCTTTCAGCCTTTCCCTATTGAGTATGATTATAGCTGTGGGTCTATAATATATGGGCCTTTATTATGTTGATGTATGTTCCCTTTACTCTCACTTTGCTCAGAGTTTTTAATAATAAATGGATGCTGGACTTTGTCAAATGCTTTTTTGCATTTATTGATATGGTCATACAGTTAGTACCCTTTTTTTTGTTTATGTGGTATATCATGTTAATTGATTTGTGGATATTGAAATAACTTTACACCCCAGGAATAAATCTCACTTGATAAGGGTGAATAATCTTTTTAATGTATTGCTGAATTTGGTTTGCTAATATTTTGTTGAGGATTTTTGCATTTATGTTCATCAGGGATATTGTCCTATAATTTTGTGTGTGATGTCTTTGTCTGATTTGAGAATCAGGGTAACGGTGACCTCATAAAATGAGCTTGGGAGCCTTCCCTCCTCTTGAATTTTTTTGGAATAGTTCTTTTAAAAAATTATGTTTAATGATTTTAGACAAACACAAACATCAGTGTAAGAGACGTTTCCTATATGTGCCCTGACTGCGGATCAAACCTGCAACCTAGGTATGTGCCCTGACCTGGAATCGAACCCCCAATCTTTTGGTTGTACTGGGCAATGGATGCTCCAACCTTCTGCACCACACCGGCTCAACATTTTTTGTATTTGTCAAGCCACCAGGAGAGGAAGGGGAGTCAGCAGGCACTACCTTCTACTCCCTTTCCAGAGAAGCTGCTGCTAAGGACCTTCTAGACTAAGACAGGGTCTTACTTCATGTTGTCTTCTTTTCTACCCTTTCTGGCCCTGGGAGAAGGAAGCCATTCACAATGCTGGTTTGTCCTGCTCCCCACCTGCATGCCCCATGTTCACAAGCTGAGCCTTTTCCACATGAGCCAGTGGCTGCTGATGGCAATATATGATATGGGACCGTGGCTGATTACTAAATAGGTATTTTTAGGGCAAGAAAAATCACTCAGGGAAAATAAAAGTAGGCAAACCAGCCCTGATGGGGAGAACATGTGGATTTTGAATTTTGAATATCAGCTCCTTTGAGGAATGCTTATCACGGGAAGGACTTTTCTTCAGAGATGGTGGTATGACACCCAAGTGGTAGTTTTGCACATAGTACACCAAACAGCCAAGGACTGTAGAGATCATGGCTTTATGCTTTGGTACTATGGAACATGAGTGTGGGGGACCTCCTTTTCTTGTGCACTTCACTGCGTTGGGATAGTTTTCCAGAAGAGATGCCTGGCTTGCCCCTCCCAGTCTCTGTGGATAATGTTCTTTGCATGCAAATAGTCCATTCCCTGAAGTGTCTATCCGGCGATGTCAGCTGGCTTCACACCATTGGGTCACAATAGCCAGGTTGTCCTTCATCAGGTACTCCATGAAGAGCAGGATGTTCACGTTCTGTGTTTTGCACAGCACAACTACCTTGTTCCTGAAGGCCGGGTACTGCTCTGGTGTGGGTCAACAACCTTTAGGATCTTTACTGCAGTGTCTCTGTGCCAGTTGCCTTTATAAACAGTCCCAGAGGAGCCTGACCCAATCTGAGTGGAGAGCATCACTTCACTGGTTTCTGTTTCCCAGTGATAGCTCGAATCTCTCAGTCCACAAGTCCTAATTTTCTTTTTCTCCTGGGTCCTAGATCCTGATGCCCAGTCTCTCTGTGCTGGCACTAGAGTTTTGGGCTGTCATGAGTCTTTTGGGCTCAGATTGTTGGGGCTTGTGGACAAGGCTGAAGGTGAGGCTGATTCACTATGACTTTGAATTGCATCCTCAATCATCCTGCTGTTCACAAGCAGGGTGGTGCTGACCATGTGGACATTAGGTGTGGACATCAATCTCTGCCTGTGGGAGGTGGAGTCTTCAGAGGAAGGCCTCCAGGTGTAGAATGTGAAAGTGGGGTGTGGAGTACCTGTGCTGGGAACTAACGGGCATTCAGGAAGTAGATTCTTGAATCCAATGCATTGTCAAAGAAGACAGTGCTGAGAACCCACTATCGCCAGCTGTGGCATTTGGAAAATAATTAGTTGTCTGACATTACCCCAGTCCACAACGTAGTAGGTGTTTTGGTGCTACAGTGCTCATGACATTTGTAGCTACAAGTCTGACGGGGAAATCCATTTAGCAGGAACTTCTGCTACATGTCACAGAAGGCGAGCTTCAGGAAGGTGTTCTGAACAAAGTTGTGTGTTGGGAGGGAAACATGATCCAGAAAATCTACTTGAATTTCTTCTCCAATCAACCAGGCTGCATCAATATTCCAATGTAAATGTGGTTTTTTTACCCCTGTGTTCATAGAGAAGTCTGAACACTGCACAGCACTCAGTTGCAGGCCACTCGCCCTGAGTGTTTTCATAAGGCAGTCATGCAAGGTCAGACCATTTCATATATCGACCCCCGTTCTTTGCTCGTTCAGCCAGAAAACATGGTTAGTGTTTCTTGTCTTGATGCTTGGCTCTGATAGCCAAACTGCTGAACTATTGTGGGGCGATTGCAGCTCCAGCCATCAAACACTGAGTCTTTAAGTCTCAAACCATTGACGATCATTTTCCAGGCCCCCTGTATATACTCCATTGCAGCTTACACAATAGTTTAAAAACCTGAGGGAGATGGCCCCTCTCCGTGTCTATCCTTGGCTGTGTGCTGGGGCCACAGAGCCTGGCCTACTCCCCTCCCGCTCAGCAGGTGAGGAAGCAGGTGGCAATCACACTGGGGTGTCTTCAGCCCAGGGGGTGGGGCCAGGCAACCCTGCATTATCTCACTTGCACTCCCCTTGGTGCTTCAGGGAACAGCTGGCCCTCTTGGGGCCCAAGGAGAACAGCAGGGAACCCTTCCTATCTCAGCTCTCACGCTCCTTCCTGTGTTACTCCTGCTGCACCAGATGGTGGCCCCAGCGCCCATGATCTTAATGTTTTCTCGATGAGTTTGGTTAAAGGTTTGTCGATCTTGTTTATCTTTTCAAAGAACCAACTCTTGGTTTCATTGATCTTTCATAGTTTTTTAGACTCTACTTTGTTTATTTCTGCTCTGATCTTTACTATTTCCTACCTTCTATTGACTGAGCATTGTTTGTTTTTCTTTTTCTAGTTTCTATAGGTGTGTAAGGTTCGATTGTTTATTTGAGGTTTGTATTACTTCTTGAGGTAGGCCTGTATTGCTATGAATTTCCCTCTTTGGACAGCTTTCCCCATGTCACATAGTTTTTGGGTCATTGTGTTTTCATTTGTCTCAAGGTATCTTTTGGTTCCTTCCTTCATCTCATTGTTAACCTTTTCATTGTTCAGTTGCATGTTATTTAACTTGATGTGTTTGTGTGTTTTTCAGGGTTTTTTTTGTAACTGATTTCTAGTTTATACCATTGTGGTCAGAAAAGATACTTGATAGACTTTCAGTCTTTTAAAAATTTATTGTGACTGTTTTGAGTCCCAATGTGGTCTAGCCTAGAAAATGTCCCATGTGCAATTCAAAAGATGGCATATTCTGCTTCTTTGGGGTTAAGTGCCCTGAAGATAATTAATTAAATCTATCTGGTCTAATGTGCCACTATTTTCTTGTTGATTGTTTTCTGGAAGATCTATCCATTGATGTCAGTGGAGTGTTGAAGTTCCCTACTATGACTATATTGCTATTGATTTTTCCCTTTATATCCATCTATATTTGCTTTATATATTTATGTGCTCCTATGTTGGGTTCTTAAATGTTTACAAGGGTTATATCCTCTTGGATTGTCCCTTTATCATTATGTAATGTCCTTCCTTCTCTCTTATTACAGCTTTTGTGTTAAAGTCTCTTTATCTGATATATGTATTGCTATTGCAGTGTTTAAGCAGCAGTCTTTCTGGTCACCTGAACCAGATGGTCCAGGAGTGTGCTCTGTGTGAGTTGTGTGTGCCATCCTGGTAGCTGAGTCTTGATTGCTGTTGGTACATCAGCGGGTGGGATGGACGCTCAGGCTGACTGTGAAGATTGGCCATAACCCCAATGTACAAGCTACTGTATGGAGGCTGACCCCACGTAGTGGCATTTGGCCCAGTAGGGTTTGGTGGCTGCTGACACTACCCCTTGGTGTGCTGCTTGTGGAGCTTCCGTGTTTTGCTGTGTATAATGCGCACCCCCATTTTGTGCTCATTATATGTAATTATACTCATGATATGTAATTATACCCAAGTACAGTGCACATCCTTAGTTTTCCCTCAAAATTTTGGGCAAAAATGTGCTCTTTACACATGGCAAAATACGGTACGGGGCGGTGCTCTGTTGTGGTCTGAAATCTGACACCGAGTGTGTTGGTTCTGGGGACTCTTGCGAGGGGCTCCAGTACTGGGCCAGTGTCAGATGCTGCCTGTGTTGGGCCTGGATGCCTGTGAGAGAGGCCACAGTGTGAGCTGAGGCTGAGTGCCATCCGTACTGGGCCTGGAGGACAGCAGCAAAAGGCACCAGACACCTTAATACTGCCACCGTCTACCAGCTGCCTGTAAGGCTCAGCAGCTGAAAAGCCTTAGGCAGCGTTCAAGTTGGATGAGGCAGGGTCTCCTGGAGACACCAGGCTGGGGTCAGCGGTGTTTACCAGGTTAATGCAGATTTAGATTTGGCGCCAGTGCTGAGCCTGAGGCCTCTCAACAAAAGCCTCAGTGTGCACTGAGGGCAGCCACCACCTGCTTGGGGCCTGTGGACCTTTGTGGTGGGGCAGGCAGGGTTCACGCAGCCATCAGGGTGGTGCATGATCTCATTTAACCTTAATTACATCCTGAAAGTTCTGTTTCCAAGTGCAAACACATTGGGGGTTAGGGGCTCAATATATGAGTTTTGGGGGGAGAGTTATACACCGCAGCACATCTCAGTTTGAACTAGCGACATTTCATTTAGTCCGTAGACAGAAGGCTACCAGGTGCCGTGTTGAACAGTGCAGTCAGTAGCTGCATGTGAAACACACTCCTACCTAGGTAAAGACTTGCAGTGTTTTTATGTAGGAAAGACAAGCATTTATTAGGATTGCTTTAATTGTTGTTATTGTGATAATGGAAAAGGTTCTTTGAAGGTCGTACCAATGCTGTGGTCCTAAGACACTAATAATGTACAAGACTTGGAGCTCCCACCCATTGGGATGACCAGTCAATACAAGAAGGTGGCCCCTGTGCCATGGCCACTAGGTGAGGACACATGTCTTTGAGACCATTGTGATGAAAGGGTGACCACAGTGTGTGTCTCGCGATGTAGAAGCCAGCACCTTAGTGGTCTTTAATACTATAAAGCCTTCAACTCAGAATCAAACCAGTACAGTTTTTAAAAGCTTACATCATATCCTTTAAAACTGTTTTAAATGACAAAAATCATGTGTACTCATGCTGAAAAAAACAATGAGTAGAGAACCTACCAACTAAAATCAATACTACTCTCCCAGCTCCACTAGCCCCATTCCCAAAGGGCAAAATAGTAGGAGTCTTGCTTTGAAAAATTTTAAGAGAATTGTAGTTGCTGCAAAATTTTCACAAGCAAACATTTCACTGCTGTTTTTACTTCTTCTTAGGTTTCTTCTCCTAATGAATTTGATATTATGTTCAAACTGGATGTCCCCAGAATTGAGCTGAAAGAATATCGCAGCAGTGCTGCCCATTACTTTGTGAAGTTCAAAAGAAATCCCAAAGGAAATCCTCTGAGTCAGTTTGTAGAAAATGAAATGTTATCAGCTTCAAAGATGCTGTCTAAGTTCAGGCAAATCATTAAGGAGGAAATCAAAAACATTGAAGGTAAGATTTTTGACTTTTGATTCTTAAAGTTCAAATCATACCTACTAATTGCCAGTGTATGCTCCTCTCCTATTTTTGTTGACCTCCGTGTGACACACTGTTGACTACTGCCTCCTAGCAACAACTCTTTGCTCTTGATTTTATTCCACTACATATTTTGGGTGTTCTTTTACAGTGTTGACTGGCTCCGTTTTGGTCCCCATTGAGAATATTCACAGAGCACATGTGGCTGAATGAAATCACGGCATCCCCTCTGGAAGCCCAAAACTTGTACATACAAACTGCAGTCAGCTCTCTGAAGGGAATGAACTGGGAGAAGTGGGAGAAATTTGAGTGGAGGAGCAAGGCCCCGAGTCAGCAGAGAGGTTGGCGAGCTCAGGAAGCACAGAGAGGCCCAAGTGAACAAGGGGAGGAGGATGTGAAATGAAGTTGAAGAGGAGTCCAGGGACCAGGTTTAATCAGGATTTGTTATTTAAGAAAATATAATAAGCAGTTAGAAAAAATATCTACCTTTGGCTGGACTTGTAGATCCTGGACGGGAGAACATTACATGTTCATTGAGAAGCCAGGTTGTAATAACAAAATAATGATTGGCTTTGTATTTTTAAAACTTGACTGTGGCTTCTAAGGAGAAGATATTATAAGAAAGCAAATAAGGAGATTAGAAAGGAAAATACTGTGATAGTTCAAATGAAAGATGTAGGTGGGGTGGGGTGGGGTGACGGGGCTGGAGGGAAGCAGACTCAGCCCAGGTGTGGCGGTGCTTCCTTGTGGACTAAGTGCAGGGGTGAGGGGAGTGGGGAATGGAAAGGGGTCCCAGGTGTCTGGATGGAGCACCTGTGTACACTGTGTCATTCACCGTGGAGGGGTGGAGGAGGAACACATTTTGGGGAATAAATGAAGTCTAGGCTTTGGCTATGTTAAGTTAGAGACTCCTGGACTTCCGCCAAGATGGAGACGCACCTCGCCTCTGTGCACAACCAAATCTAAGAACAACTATTTTTAACAGCAGTCACAACCAAGCCACATGGAAAATCGACAATACAGAGTCCAAAGGACAACTAGATACTCAGCTGGACTGGTACGAGGAGCGAGGCCAGCAGCGGAGCAGGTTAGCAAGAAAAAATTCCCGGGCCGGTGCGCGGTGCGCGCAGGCAATCGAGGACGCTGATCGCGAGCGAGCTGGCTGCCGGAGAGCACAGGGAAGAGGCGCAGTGGGTCGGTCGGTCGCGCGCATTTACGTGCGGAGAAACCAGTGAGCACAATTCCGATTGGATAAACAAGCCCCAGGCGTGTGGAGTGACTGGATGCGCTGGGCTAGCGGAGAGGACAGGCAGTGCTCCCTCTCTGACCACGCCCCCACACACAGCGTCACAAACCAGCGACCTGGGTCTCCCGTCCTGGTAAACAACTAAGGCTTCGCTCCGCTCACTTAACAGCACGAATAGACCAAAAATGGCTCTAGGACAACTCAGAGCCCCAGAACTGATAGACCTAAGTGATGAAGAAATAGCCAGTCTTTCAGATGCACAGTTCAAAACACTGGTTATCAGGATCCTTACAGAACTGGTGGATTTTAGTCACAAATTAGAGAAACATATGGAAGCTAAACTAATTGAAATGAATGGTGATACAAAGGATACCAATAGTAATGGAAAGAAAATTGGGACTCAAATCAAGGGAGTGGACCAGAAGGAAGAAAACAATGATCAAACAGAAAGGAATGAAGAAATAAGAATTCAGAAAAATGAGGAGAAGCTTAGGAACCTCCAGGACATCTTTAAACGTGCCAACATCCGAATTATAGGGGTACCAGAGGGGGAAAGGCACAGCCACCAGTGGAAAACTTATTTGAACAAATAATAAAGGAGAATTTCCCCAAGATGGCAAAGGAAATAGACTTCCAAGAAATCCAGGAAGCTCAGAGAGTCCCAAAGAAGTTGGACTCAAGAAGGAACACACCAAGGCACATCATCATTACATTAGCCAAGATTAAAATGAAGGAGAGAATCCTAGAGGCAGCAAGAGCTAAGGGGACAGTCACCTACAAAGGAGTTCCCATCAGACTGTCAGCTGATTTCTCAAAAGAGACCTTACAGGCAAGAAGGGGCTGGAAAGAGGTATTCCAAGTCATGAAAACCAAAGATCTACAACCAAGATTGCTCTACCCAGCAAAACTTTCATTTAGAATGGAAGGACAGATAAAGTGCTTCTCAGATAAGACCAAATTCAAGGAGTTCATCATCACCAAGCCCTTATTATATGAAATGTTAAAGGGACTTACCTAAGAAAAAGAAGATCAAAAAGATGAACAGTGAAAGGACAGCAAACTCACAGTTATTAAGAACCACACCTAAAACAAAAGCAAACTAAGAGGACAGCTAGATCAGGAGCAGAACCATAGAAATGAAGATCTCATGGAGGGTTAGCAACAGGGGAGTGGGAGGAGGGGAAGGGGGGAGAAGGTACAGAAAATAAGTAGCATAGACAGTAGATAGAAGATAGATAGGGGGGAGGGCAAGAATAGTAGGGGAAATACAGAGTCTAAAGAATTTGAGACACGTGTTCATGAACTAAAGGGGGAAATGGTGGGGGAGGGGTATGCAGGGTGGAGGGGAACGGAGGGGGGAATAGAGCAAATGTAATGGCATAATCAATAAAAAAAAGTTAAAAAAAAAGTTAGAGACTCCTGCGATATGTTCAAGTGAATGTGTCAAGAATGTATTTGGACATGGGTTTGGAGTTCAGGGGATCCATTTGGGCTGCATGTCAACATGTATGTGGTGTTGGGAATGGATGAGATGGCTTAGGCAGAGAGTATAGATTAATTTATTCATTAATCAATATTCACTGATTATGTACTGTGACAGGGGTCTAGATGTTTGGAATATATTAACAAACAAATAGAATAAGACCCTTACCCCTCTATACTTACATAATTACATGAGGGCAGATATGTAATTAATAACAAATGGAAAACATAATTATCTTGCGTACTTGAAATCTAAGTAGTTAAGTCCTGTGGGGAAAAAGTATAGCAGGCTGAGAGAGATCAGGATGGGAGAGTCTGGAATGTGAAGTAGAAGGGTAGGAGAGGGATCCCATGCGAAGTTGCGGGGCAGAGAAGGAGCCAGGTGAGACGATTGTCTACAGGAGGAGTGGTCAGTGTTTAGAATGCTGCGGGCATTCAGGAAACCATTGGATTTGGCCTTTGGTTTTGTGGGATTGCTGGGAACTTCGACTTAGCGGTTTCAGGGGGATCATGAGCACACAGGAGGAAGAGGGTAGGGATGCAATAGAGTCAGCATGTGTAGGCAATTCTAGAAGGTTTTGGCTGAGGAGGAAGTAGAGAGATGGGTCAGTATGGGGATGAGGCTGATGTAGAGTAAAGGAGAGGAATATTGTAGAATGAGAAGCACTGAAACCCTTCGTGTGGGGTTAGGAATGATCCCGCCGGGCAGGGGAGTCCGCTGATGCAGGAGTGGGAACGATTGAGGGGGTAAGATGCCTGAAGAAGCAAGGATCCACAGGCCCTCTGCAGGGTGGACTTTGAAAGATGAACGGACACTTCCTAGGTGGTCATAGGAGGAAGAAGGGTATAATGGGTAAGATGAGAGTAGGTTTGCAGATTTATGATGAGAAAATGAGAGCGTTCTGTAGGATTTTCTCCTTGGTGATCTATCCTCTTTCTCACTGTGGTTTCATCCAGAAGTCTTATCTGGGAGAGTCTTTAGCTATTGCTTGTACACCCCCTAATCCCAAAGCCCGTATCTGTCATCTGGAGGTCTTTCCCGAATTTCTGACCACCATAACTACTTGCCCTGTGGCCACCTCCGCTTGGGGGCCCCCTAGCATGTGGAACTTAGTGTGTCTGAAATGAAGCTCAACTGCTCTTCTTCCTGCTCAGTCTGTATTGCAGAATGGGAGAAGCTCCAGTCCTTCCCAGAGCTGCAACCCTGCGGTGGTGTCCCAGGTCTCCTGCCTTCTCCCTTGTCTCCTAGGTTCAGTCCGTTTACCAGTGCTGCTGACTTGAATCTCTTTAATTGCCCTCATTTCTGCTTCCTATGTCTTAAAAAAATAAAAACCCTATATATTTAGTACGTGCAACGTGATGTTTTAATATACATACACATAGTGAAATGATTTCTACAGACAGGCCAATGAACACGCCATCTCACATATAGTTAGCTCTTTTGGGTGTGGTGAGAGTACCTGAAACCTACTCTCTTAGCGCAGTATTTAATTCTGTGCTGCCTCCAGTGTGCGAATGTAGTGTTAATGCCAGGCATCATGCTGTGCATTGGATGTCTGGACTCACCTACCTACCTGCCCCTTTGTTGCCTTCGATCAACATCTCCCATTTCCCCCACCGCCCCACCTCTGTAAACCACCATGCCACTCTCTGCTTCTGTGTTTTCTACTTTTTTAGATTTCACGTATAAGTGAGGTCACGCAACGTTTGCCTTTCTGTGTTTGGCTTATTTTCTCCAGGTTCATCCATGTTGTCACAAATGCCAGGATCTCTTTCTATGTGAAGGCTGAATACTGCTCCACTGTGCACACGGGCATACCTCAGCTTATTCCTCTTCTGTTTATTTCACTTCAGATCATGCGTTTTTACAAATTGAAGGTTTGTGGCAGCCCTGCACCAAGCAAGTCTGTTGGTGCTATTTTTCCAACATGCTCAGACGATGCTTTAGCAGTGTTTAGCAATAAAGTGTTTAATTAAGGCATGTACATTATTTTTTAGACATAATGCTTGTGCACATTTAATAGACTACAGTATAGTATACAGATAACTTCTATTTTGCTTCTAATTTTGGGAAACCAAAAAATTCATGTGACTTGCTTTATTGCAATATTTACTTTATTGCAATGGTCTGCATATCTACAAGGTGTGCCTGTATATTCCAGTTTCTTTTTTTCATTAGTTTTTTTTTTTTACTTTAAAAAGTTGTTTTTCAAGTACAGTTGTCTCCATTTCCCTCCCACCACTCCCCCCAGCCCACAGATCCCCACCTCCCACCCTCCATCGTACCCCCCTTCCACAATGTCTTTCCCCATTCACCCATGGATGGGCTCCGAGGTGGTTGCCATTATTGCCTGTGGTGAGTCACACCGCAGTGAACGGGCATCGTTCCCTGCGCTTCACGCTCCCTGGCTCTGTGCCGCCACAGGCTCCCAGGCTCTTGGGCGACCATGGCTGTGGTCTTTTTTTCCCTCCCTCATGTTTTCCTCTGTGGTCTTCTTGATCACCTTGTGCCTTCCTGCTGCCCATCTGGCCTCTTTTCCAGGCTTCCCTCCAAACTGCCACTCAGCAGTTTAAATGAAAATTTAATTAGAGCACTCCCAGAGCCCAGACTCTTCCGGCGTTCCCGTCACGTATGCTAGACAGGTGCTCGGTGGGGCCTCCCGCCATGACAGTGCTGGCGAGTGTTGGGTAAACCAGTGAACCACCTGGCCTTGAGGGTCAGTTTCTGGTTTCAAACTAATTTTCACCTTAACACTCTATAGATCTCCAATTAAAGTTTTATTATTTTTCCTATATTTTCAAGAACATTAGATTGATAAACCCTTTTTTTCTTTTATATATTTAAACAGATCTAAATGTCATAATGGAGAGGAAGAAGAAAGGGTGTCCTGCTGTAACTCTTCTTATTAGAAAACCTAAAGAATCTGTGGATGCTATATCTGTGGATATAATCTTGGCTTTGCAAGTGACAGGCAGCTGGCCCGCGAGCACCGGGGAAGGCCTGCGCATCCAAGGCTGGCTTGGAAGGAAAGTTAGGAGAGATCTAAGACTGCAGCCATTTTATCTGGTACCCAAGCATGCAAAGGAAGAAGACCATTTTCAAGGTATCTTGAATGTGACAGTGAATTTCTTTAAAGACCTAAAAAATGTTGTTGATGTTAATATACAAGGGCAGTAGTGATAAAGAAAGGCAGCGCTGGCCTTGGAGTCAGACTGCTCTGGATCTGGGTCCTGAGACCTCTCTTACCAGCTGTGTGATCTTTGGCTAGTTACCAAGCCTCCCCAAATGGTGCTTTATTCACATTTCGTAGTTTTCACGTATATCCTTGTTCTGTTTCAGGGCCCCATCTAGGACACCGCATTACATTTCATCATCATGTCCCCTTAGGCTCCTGTTGACTGGAACACTTTCTCAGCCTTGCCTTGTTTTTGAAGGCCTTGGCAGGTTGAGGCGTCCTCGTCAGGCCTTTTGTAGCATATGCCCCTCTAACGGCACGTGCCTGAGGTTTTCGTTACGATTAGACGGGAGCTCTGGGTTTTGACCAGAGCGGTAAAGTACTGTTGTCATCACACCATATTGAGGAAACGTGCCAGGAACGTGACTAAGCACTGTCCACGATGACCTTGATCAGTTGGCTGAGGTCGTGTTTGTCAGGTTTCTGCACTGTTAAGTTACTCGTTTCCCTCCTTTTCATATTGTACTGTTTGGAAGGCTGTCACTTTGCACAGCTCACACTTAAGGAGGGGGGATTGTGCTCCACCTCATTAAGAGCAGAGTATTTGGAATTCTGCATGGAAGATTTGTGTCTTCTTCCCCTTTTATCAATTTACTTAATCACTTATGTCAACATAGATTCATAGAATTTATGAATTTGTTTTATACTTGTTTTATACTTTGGGCTATAATGCAGTACCACTTTATTAATTTTATTGCTTTGATAGTTCCAGCTTTGGCCTTCGGGAACTTTTTTCCCTTGGTTCCCTATGGCCTTTGGCCATGCCCCCAAATCATGGGGGTGGGTTTGTTTTTAGCACTCACTCACTTTCTGGCTGTTCAAGATACTTCAGGCACATCTTGTGTATTTCCTGTATCAGTCCTAGAATCAGCCATTTCTCCATGGAGTCCTGGATCCTTATATTGGAGAATGAACTAGAAACCACGAACTGGGTGCTGTATATGTACATTCTATTGATAGGGTGTCAGTCCTCTCGGCTGAAGGAACAAGGAAATACATGTATGTGTACTAACCCCACTCTAAACCCTATCTCTAAATATTGTATGTGTATCTACCTGTTGTCTATATTATTATGCATGAGTTCATACTGTCTAATTAGATTCCATTACCACATGGGTCATCCTTCTGTCCCTGCTGTCTGGCACCTCTCATTCCAACAGTAAAACACCTGACTCCCCATCCGCCACCTATTTACTTAATTGTCCAGTTCTCACACACACACATGTAGGTGTTTCCAACTGTAAAGCCATTGCTCCCTGGAAACAGGTATCGATTTCAGTGCAGTGCAGACGCACAGTTTTTGGCCTTCAGTCTTACCCCATTTCCAGACTCATTCAGGTCAGCACCTCTTGCCCCTGCCCCATTCAGGAAGGTTGTTTATACATCTGAAATGCAGTTACAGTCCCTTTTCATGGTCTGCATATTTCCTGGGATCCCTTGACCTCCGACATCATTTTTATAAGTTTACATACACTAAGGTTCATTCTTTCTGCTACAGAGTTCTGTGGGTTTTGACAAATGCACTGTATCACGTATCTACCCTTACACGGTAGTTTCAGTGCCCTAAAAAGTCTCCTGTGCTTCACTTATGCAACCCTTCCCATTCCAAACTCCTGGCAACCACTGTCTGTTTGGCGTGTCTGTCGTTTCACTTCTTCTGGAGTGGCATACGTGGACGTCAGAAATGGATTCATACAGGAGCGGTGAGCAGCGCACCTGGCTCAGGGCCTCCTTTTCCGCGTATTCCTTGTCCACGTATTGTAGAGCTCTTACACATTCTTTATTCCGTTCTATTAAAGTCTTTGCCTACCCTTTCTCTACACTATATCATCACACTGTAGCATGCTGTAAGTCTTAATACCTGGTAGGGCACATTTTCCCGCTTTGTCTTTCCTCATGAGTGTTTTACATATTTTCGACAGTTTGTATTCTCATAAAAATTTTAATATCGTATTGTCAAGTTCCACGAAACTTGGAATTTTGATTGAGAGTACATTGAATGTGTAGATAAGTTTGGAAAGATTTGATGTATCTATAATAATGTGTCTTCCAGTTCATAGTCAGATGCATATCTCCATTTATTGGGTTGGTGGAAAAGTTTGTTTGTTTTTTTCCTGGACAGTTGCTCTAGTAGTGCTTAGTTGCCTTTAATGTCATTCCAAACATACTGTTAGATAGTATTGTGATAACTTTCATTTCAACTTGAATTTAAAAAAACTTATGAAAATTGGTGAATTTTCCTGTGGCTATTTTATTTATTAATTTAAATTTTTTTAAAGATTTTATTTATTTAGTTTTAGAGAGAGGGGAATGGAGGGAGAAGGAGAGGGAGAGAAACATCAACGTGTAGTTGCCTTCCTGTACCTGTACTGGGGACTGGCCTGTGACCCTTTGGTTCGCAGACTGACACTTAATCCACTGAGCCATACCAGCTAGGGAAATTCTTATTTTCATATGTAAAGGTTTTATTTATATTTTAGAGAGAGGAGGTAGGAGGGAGAGAAACTCCAATTAGTTGTCTCTTGCATACCCCCTACCAGAGACCTGGCCTGAAACCCAGGCATCTGCTCTGACTAGGAATCAAAAATTGGTGACTGTTCAGTTCTCAGGCCAGTACTTGACCCACTGAGCCATGCCAGCCAGGGCATTGCGCAGTGATTTTAATATTGAAAGTGGAATAAAATATGCAGCACTTTCAATGTATTATGCTTTATTATTTCAAGAAAGGTAAAAATGCAACTGAAATGCAAAGAAAGATTTGTGCAGTATATGGAGAAGGTGCTGTGACTGATCAAACGTGTCAGAATTGGTTTGTGAAGTTTCTTGGTACTATTGACATTTTGGCCAAATAATTCTTTGCTGGGGGACTGTCTTATGCATTGGAGGATGTTTAGCAGCACCCTGGCCTCTACCCACTAAAAGCTAATAGTGGGAGGTAGCCAACATACCCAAAATATCCAAATCAGTAAAGTTACTTTTGAAAGTAAAAAATGTGTCTTTTATTTTACCGGAAAAACTAAATGGATTTTTTTTTGGCCAACTCAATATTTAGATTTCCTCTAATACTTCTCAGTGAAGTTTTAGCGTTTTCTCCACAGAAGTTTTGTGCCTCTTTTCTTAGATTTACTCATAGACAACTGTAACTTCTTAGGATTAAAATTTTCAACCAATAGGAAAGTAGACTGAAGAATTTTTTTAACCCTCACAGAGGATATGCTTACTGATTTTAGAGAGGTAAGGGGAGAGAGAGACAAACATCGATATGATTGGTCACCTCCTGTACACACCCCTACCGGGGATCAAACCTGCGACCTGGGTGTGTGTCCTGACTGGGGATGGGACCTCAGCCTTCAGTTGGAGGGGCCAAGGCTCCAACCAATGGACACCCTCGTGCCTCCCGCCCCCCACCAGGGCTGTAGACTGAAGAATGCACTGAACTCACACATACCTGTCACCTAGCTTCCTTTTATTTTCTTCATACACAGTTCTATCATCTCTCAGTAATGAGAGCTTTGTTTCCCTCTTTCCAGTGCGATACCCCATGTTATGCTCCCTAGGACAGCCAGTTGAACAGAAAGAGGAATAGCAGACACCCCGCCTTCCTGATTTCAAAGGGAAAAACCTCAGTGGTTTACTTTACATTACCATGTTGCTGTGTTCTTTTTTAATCTGTCTTCCAGCAGATTAAATTTCCATGCAGATTTAAATAGCTGAGACTTTTTAAAAAATGATAAATAAATGTTAAATTTCCTTACCTGCATGTTCTGCTTTGTTGAGATGATCATGTGTCTCCTCCATCCATTAATGTGACAGATTATACTCATTTTTAGATTATAAATCAATCATGCATTTCTGGTGTAAAACCACCTAGGTTGCAGGATGGCCAGAGCTTCAAAGAGCTAGTCATGGTGAAACGTCGGGGAGGGGGAAATCTGTTCTCGCAGAAACTCTCCCAAGGGACCGAAGTGTCTCCTAATTCATTTTACATGGACACCAAAACCTGGAAAGGATGGTTTAAATGGTTTGAATCAATTGATTCAAATTATTATTGAAACAAAATATTAACAAGCTGATTTTTGCAATGTGTAGAAGGTGATATATCTTACCTGGGTAACTATAGGAAGCTCCTCCCACCACTTTTTCTTATCTCAGTCCATTGTTTGCTTCAAATGAGTTATTTTAAAATGTAATTACATTATTTATCTATTCAGTTCCTTGAGACTCTCCTCTAAAAATTTTTGAGACTATTTTAATGAACGAAGTCATTATATATTGTGTTGTTTGTATGTGGACATTTTCCATAAAGTGCTTTTCTGTTTTTCTTTTGGAAATTAAGAGGACACCTGGCGGCTATCCTTCTCTCACATTGAAAAGGACATTTTGAAAAATCATGGACAATCTAAAACATGCTGTGAAACGAATGGAGTGAGATGTTGCAGGTAACTCCTTATTTTGTTCAATGAGGGCTTATGTATGGAATGTTTTTTTTAATTGACTCCATAATTCGGACCTAAAGATGATCGTGGCTGGGTGACTCCTGGGGTGAGTTCACAGCTGGACCGACATGGAGTATTATCTAAAGGGTGCACGTGAAACCAGGGAAGCCAGCTCCAACGGACCTAGGGAGAGTGTTGTTAGAAGTCAAGGCCAGGGACCATAGTCCTGAACTTGGATCAGATGGATGTATATAGAGGACAGAAGAAGAAGGTGTGAACACCAGCCATGAGTAGCCATGACAGCTGGTTGTGTCTCAGTATTCTGGTTGCTTCAACGTAATGAATGTTAATGTCATGTAACAGGAGGGCAGCAGAGGTTCACTCTTGTGGATCCTGGTGCTTGCGTTGAGGTGGTTTGACTACACTGAAGGCCAGGACTGACTGGCTAAATTTGAAACAACACTGAGAGACAGTCAGTTATTTTTCTTGGTAGCATACACACCATAAAGAAGGGAGAGTGAAAGGGAATTGTTCATTTGAGTTTCTCAGGTTGCCCAGTATAATGGTCACAAAAGTTAAAAGGCCAGAGCATTTTGCTAAGTGAAGTAAGCCAGGCAGTGAAAGACAAATACCGTATGATCTCACCCATAAGTGGGACCTAATCAAAAAAACAAGCAAGCAAAATATAACCAGAGACATTGAAATAAAGAACAGACTGACAGTGACCAGAGGGGAGGAGGGAGGGGATAGTGGGGGGAAAATAGGGGAGGGGTCATCAAGGAACATGTACAAAGGACACACGGACAAAGCCAAAGGGGGGTAGATCTAGGGTGGGAGGTGGGGGATGGGAGAGGTGGGGGATGGGCGAGGGGAAATGGAGACAACTGTACTTGAACAACAATTAAAATATTGCTAATAAATAAATATAATTTAAATACCTTGTTAAAAATGTTGTAATAATCAATACACTATTTTTTTATTTAAAAATAAAAAGGTCAGAGCAAGAATGTCCAACAAGCAGGCACAGGAGGCTCTTCAAGGCCCCGCGTGCAGGCCTTGGAGCCAGCAGTGAGAAAGATGTTTGCTGATGTGCTTACATATTTTTGAAAACACTAAATTTTGCCAATTACTAAATACCTGCCTGGATGGGTAATGTAAATATTTGTGACCTAACAAAGCAAAATCCTTGGCTGAATAATTCAAATATCTGCCAGTTTCACAGTTGAATTAATTCTGATTCAATAAAATATTTAAGTTAGGAATGGGGAAGAGGAAAGAAAAAAATATGTTTGAGAAACTTTGAAGTATATAATGGAAAAAAATAGGTTTTAGATAAAGTAACTCTAATTATTTCTATATTTTTTCATTTTTTGTGTCTTTATATGTATTATACTATCTGCATTGTTTCTTGTATCTTCCTGGAAGATGCTTAAAGCTCTTCGTGGAATGAAGGACATTGTAAATAAGTAAAAGTCAATGGTTTTCTTTTTTTATTCAACAGGAAAGATTGTTTAAAACTAATGAAGTATCTTTTAGAACAATTGAAAAAGAAGCATGAAAAACGAAGGGAACTGAAGAAATTCTGTTCTTACCACGTGAAAACTGCCTTCTTTCACACTTGCACCGAGTACCCAGATGACAGCCAGTGGCAGCCCGGGGACGTGGATCTCTGCTTTGATCGGTGTCTGGAGGCGTTCCTTCAGCACCTCAGGGAGGAGCATCTTGACAATTTTTTTATTCCTGGAGTCAATCTGTTCTCTCAACACGAAGTTGACAAAATAAGTAAAGAATTTCTGTTAAAGGAAATTGAATATGAAAGAAACAATGGATTTCCAGTTTTTAAAGAATCTTGAAATTCTATTTTTAAAAAGAGTGAAGAATTAGAGTGACTTTATAATATATTGGAATGTTTGAAGTTTGTCACAGCAATGATTGATGAAAATGAATGTAAACAAGTATTTAACTCCATTTGTCTTAATAAATTCTAGTATAAAAGGCTTGATTATTTTGGGGAAGAAATTAGTCAAGGAATACAAAGCAAAAAAAAGTATTTAAAATCCAAAAGCTTTACCAGGTTGGAATGAAAAGGACAAAATACTTATCACCTTAATTAAAGTCATCAAGCACTTATTGAACGAACACCACTTTTTTTTATACCACCTTTCTCCTGGCACAAATGTGTGGAAGGTTGCAGAAGACAATATTAGAGATGATCACAGTCTCCATTAGACTGGTGGGCTTTGTTCAACATATGAATATATTTGGAAATGGTGTCCTGTCCTCAGCGTTAAGATAGGTAAGATTGAAATGAAGAAATAAGTTCTACATTTTCTTTACATGTCTCAGGAAATTCGTACTCTTACAAGAAAATACTAAGTTAATACATGCAAGTAAATATAAAAGATGTATTTTTTTGGTAACACTTTTATATATGTTTCTGAAAAGGTGATACATACCCATGGCATAAACCGAAACAGGTGTGGAATAAAATATCACCCTTTCTTCTCTGTGCCCAGACAGCGTTTAACCTAGAGGCTGTTGCTGTTTGCTTACTAAACCGAAAGGTGGCAGATTGGAGTCCTGGTCAGGACTTTGGCCTTGGTTGCAGGCTCCATCCACCACCCGAGCTCCTACAAGAGGCAACTGATCAATGTTTCTCTCATCCATGTTTCTCTCCCTCCCTTCCCCTCTCTAAAATCAATGTGGATGTCCACAGGTGAGGGTTTAAAAGAATTATTTGTGGAGATTTCATTATTTTGGTCTAGTGCGTAGGTACCTCCCTCTGGAGGGGATTTATTTGCATTTGCCAGGCTTCTGGGGGACATTAGCAGTCAGCAAAAGAAGCTCCTCAAATGAGGATTACTTCCGGCGGCTCCTTGGACCACTGAGGCAGTATGAGCCTGGGCTGCACATCTGTAACGATAGAACTGCCTCATTCTTTCTGGTGTTTGCATTTTATTCCACTGCAACATTCGGATTGCTATTATTTTCTAGAGATTTTATTTAGGTATCAAAGGGACAATGGCTTGATTTAATGCTGTTTTTCCGTTTTGATACCAGTTACACTAGCTTTACAAACTGAGCTTTGAAAAACTCACCTTTTTTAATGTTCTGGTATGCAGGACTTGCTAGCTTGGTGAAGGTGTCCGATTACCTTTCATGTTTCTTCTCCTGTTTTGTCTATTCAGGTTAATGACCTGAGTTAATTTGAGTAAGCTGGGAAAATATAGTCAAGCTTTTGAATTCCTACTTGCTAAAATAATGTTAAGTACACTGGTCTTAAAATTTTAGGCCCCTATATTTCTAAGGTAGTAGACTGGGGACAGCTGATCTCCCAGCCACTCAAAGTTTGCCAGACATTTGTCTATTTGGTGGGTCTTACTTAAGAGCCAGGTGTGGATTTTCACTGAGCCCTGTATTTTTAATTAATTAATTTATGCTTTTACCTTTATTTCCTTTGTTTTCTTATTAATCTCATTAATGTAATACCAGGAAACTGCTACTGCGGGAATAATGTAAGATGAGATGCTGAAGACCTAATTATATACAAATAAAAGTACCTGTATGAGCACTAAATGTTAACACAAGCAGCTGTCATATATGGAACGAACACAGGACACTGTACACGAAGCTGTAAGGGAAAGTTGGGGAGTATTATCAGTCAAAGGAGTTTTCATGCAAATGAATTTCTTTCCTAGGATTTATTTTAGCATGGAGCTGTGGGCTAAAATGTAAGAAACAGACAGCTGTTGTTTATTTTGTTCCCACGAAACTTTTACTGTGCCATTTCAAAGTAGGGGAAGTATGATCACTTAAGGAAGGAACCCCCAAATGAAATACCCTTCAGTAAATACAGAATTAAAGGGCTGTGCATAAAGACATAGAGACCAGCTTATCTTTTTATCATAGACAAATCTTTATTTATTAAGTCTTTTTCATTGTCATGACAGTCTGCAAACAACCTTTAACCCTTTACAGATTTACCTTAATACAGCAACATTACAGGAGACAACATTTAGTTATATTTTTTTTAAATAAAAATAGTAAAAGGTGAAAAAAGCTTAATGGTACATTCCTTAATATCCATGAAAAAAAATTTTAAGTTAAATACTTTTGATTTTTATTAAAGAAAGTATAACATCTTCAATTCTACATTTTAAAACACTGTTGTGTTAAGAACTAACTAGTCAGGTCTTTTTGAACATGGCCAGCACATCTCCACACTTCCACACAGTTTAGTGTATCTCCAAAAAACTTGAATTCTGAAAAATAAGTAGTAAAAAACAAACTGCTGTTGCCAAATCTTTTAAAACACTTTTAATTGTGATGAAATACATAACAAAACTTAACCATCCTAACCATTTTTAAGTAATGATTCAATAATGTTAAAGTGTTAGGTATATTCATTGTTCTACAACCCATCTCCAGAATTTTCTTTTCATTTTCAGTGAATTTATTGGGATGACACTGGTTAACACAATTACCCAGAACTTTTTCATCTTGCAAAACTGAACCCCTATACCCAGTAAACATTTCCCCATCTCTCTCGTCCAACTAGCTCCCGGCAACCACCATTCTACTTGGTCACTCGTTATCGCCTACCCTGGACCCATGTAAGTGGCATCACACAGCACGTGTCCTCACTTAGCATAATATCCTTTCACATAATGTCCTCAGGGGCCATCCATTCTGTGGCATGTATCAGAATTTCCTGTTACACACCACTTTGTGTATCCGTTCATTCACAGTGGGGCTGCCGCCACCTTTTGCCTATTGTGAATAAGGCCGCTATATGCACATGGGTGTACAAATACCTCTGAGGGAGCCTGCTTTCCATTCTTTTGGATGTATTCCCAGAAGGAGGTTTGCTGGGTTGTAGTTTTAATTTTTGAGGAACTGCCACATTTTGGATAGGGGATGCACCGTTTTACCTTCCCACCAACAGTGCACAAGGGTTCCTGCTTCTCCACATCCTCACCAACGCTGATACATCCCCAATGGGTGTGAAGTAATTTTATTGTGGTTTGGATTTGCATTTCCCCAGTGATTAAACTGAGCACCTTTGCATATGTTTCTTGGCCATTCATACAGGGTCAGGCAAATGTAGGCAAAAGTATGGGAAATATTACAATAATTAATACATACTAATACAAAAATAAGCTGTTTCCTGTACTCACAACTGTAGACCTACTTTTGCCCCGTCCTGTGTATCTTTGGAGAAATGTCTGTTCAAGTCTTTTGCTCATTTTTAATCAGGTTGTTTGTTTCTGTTCAGTTTTAGGAGTTCTCTATATTGTGAATATAAATTCCTAACCAGAAATATGATTTACAAAAATATTTTCTCCGTAGTTTATTCATAAGGTGCCCTACTGGACATTTGGATAATAGTCTTTTCCTACTACAAATAATGCTATAATAAATCTTCACTTGTACATGCAAACATTTTTATAGAATATATTCTTAGAAGGGGAATTGCTGCATCAAAAGGTGCATGTGTTTTAATTGATACATTACCAAGCTGCTCAGGTCATGACAGTTCATACCTTGACCAACTCCATTACACTGTTGATCTTTCTGTATAACCTAAAGTTTATTTTCTTAACTCTGAATATAATAACTGGAAGTTAGGTAACTTTAGGTAAAGAATAACACCTAATAATTCATTACATTAATAACTCCTAGAGATAATGCTGACTGCAGTAAACATACTAACAGTCAGTTAAGGAAAACAGGCATTTGAAAGACCATATATTAATCAAATGTTACCTCTTATAAGTAGGCTGGTACCACTTTTCGACACAGACATTAATAATAAAATTTCTTGGGTTTTCCTTGGGGTCTTCCCAATTTTTTTTCCACTTCTTTTTTCAGTTTATTTGCCTTATATCTCTCAGCCATTGACACAAGCTCCTCTGGGATACTCTGAAACCATCAGATGTGTTTTTAGGATGGAGATTATTCTTTTAGTATAGCAGCTTTTTCCACGACATACTAAAATACCTCCAAACCACTTCAATCAGAGAATATCCAGAACAGATTACATGACATTTTCCAACAGAATGAAATGCATCTCCCTGCATCTTAAACTCTGAATTTACCTTTAAGCTATAAAACCAGACTGATCTTAAAAACCCCCATCGCTGCACCGCCCCCCGTCTGTAGAGCCCCCAAGTGCTTCCCAGTGCCCTTAACTTGCCCGGGGCCACCTTCGGAATGTTCTCTCTCACCCCCAGGCAGATTATGTCCCCTTGCTGGGACACCATCCCATTCTGCAGCTCTCCTACGCCACCGGTTTCTTCCTCAGCAGGGTGTGCAGTGAGGCTCAGCCCCATTAGACTAGGTTCCCCAATTATATGAAAGTATAGCTCCTCATCTTTGGGACAGTCCTTATAACATGTTTACTTGTTTAATATCTATCTTTCCTGGTAAGCAATAAGCCCCAGCACTCAGAATAAGTGAAATTATATGAATATTAGAAAAGTGATATGAGGTAGAGTTCTGAGTTTTATATTCTCACCTGATTTGCTCTTTCCAGAATGTTAATTAATTCATTGGCAACCCTCCAATCATTTCTAGTGATAAGGGTAATTGAAACTCCAGTCCTCCTGTAAGCAGGGGGAGGTGGAGAAACTCATGTAATTTGACTTGTAATTAATATTCATTATTTAGTTAGCAAAATAGAATAATAAAAACAGCAGCAGCAAAACCTCAACTTTCTCACAAGCCCAAATATGTATTGTATGTCAGAATTTAGCATCATTTAAACAGCAATGTGGAATCCAAACACCTGCAGTTTAAAGGGCACATTACAAGGGTCGGTGCTAGCAGTGCTCTCGGTGAGAAACGACCCCCTTAAACATGCCAATTTCGATGAGTGACCACTGGGTACCCATCAGTTTTGTGACACTCTAGATATAAAGTAAAAAGTAGAACTGAAGAGCTACATGCAGCCCACACAGAAGGGTCTGGTTGAACCTGAAACAGGCCCATTGGGCAAAAATGAAATAGGAAAGCAGGTTCTGGAGTGGCTTAGACAATTTACAGGCAAGAGAACAAAAGTTTTCTAGGTAAAACATGGAGCCAAGGTTGGTTTTTTTTTTCTTTTTTTAAATCCTCACCAGAGGACATGCTTATTGATTTTAGATGGAGGGGGAGGGAGGGAGGGAAGGAGAGAAACAGCATCTGTTGCCCACGGAACATGCCCCAACTGGAGACTGAACCTGCATCCCTGGCATGTGCCCTGACCGGAATCAACCTGCAGCATTTGGGTTTATGAGATGATGCTCCAACCAACAGAGCCACACTGGTCAGGGCCAGAGTCGACGCCTTTCATGGGCAGGCTATGATTACTTACCCGGCTCTTCCAGTGCGCCCTACTCTGTGCACATACTCTTCGATGTTCCGGGGAAAGTCATAGTTATAGACATGTGTGACATCATGGACATCAAGACCTCGAGATGCCAGGTCAGTAGCAATCAGTATTCTCACTTTACCTAGAGAGTAAAGCCAAAGGCTTACAGACACATTCTTGCATAAGGGAATCTAAGACGTATCAGAAAGTATATCTGCCCCTAGTATCTGACCAGGTGAAGTATTACCACCATTAACATTAAAACACTTAAGGTAGTGAAGATGGGAAAGGGATATTTAGTTTTTCTTCTCAACTTCTGGCAACCTACAACACAACAGATACCATGGTTCAGCAAATGGTCCCTGAATCATCTGAGCCATGTTGTAAAGATCCATGCATCTCACGTAAACTAGGAAAAATATCCCCCATGGCAAATTGTTGCCTTGACACCCAGGTTTAAACATTAGCTCTTTGAAGTTTCCATAGTTCTGAGAGGCTGGTTAGTATTTACAGCTCTAACAGGTATAGTCTGAGGTCTGTAAACTGAGGGCAGATCTTAGAAATGGGTGCCGTGGAAAGGAGCTGTCACTCAGCCAATCGCCTGCATTGCACACTCTTCAAATGCAACAAATAGTAGTTACATAAATGTACCTGTTTTAAAGTCATCTAGTGCCTTCTCTCGATCGCTCTGTTCTCTGTTACCATGCAGAGACTCTACGGAGACATGTCGGAGAATCAGGTCACTGGATAAGTGATCGGCACTGGAGCAAACATAAGGTCAGTGATCTTAGGCGGTTATTCTAATGCCACCATCGGCTCACCATTTTACTTCTATTTGCAAAAGTCTGAAATAACCTACTGAAAGCCATACACACCTCCACCTGAAATAAGTGTACAAATCAAAAGAATGCTAAACAAATCAATTTGATGATTAAGGATATAAAGAAAAAATACCTACACAGCTTTTCTGCTGACAAACACTATGACTTTGTCTTTGGGAGACATGCTCTCCAGGAAAGTTTGGATATGAGATCGTTTCTCTTCTTCTGTGGTGACAATTATATTTTGCTTCACAGTGCTTACAGCCTGAAAGATTCAAAGATCATAGCACATCAACATTGAAGGGCAAATATCATAGTTTGGCTCAAAATAAATCTTTTTCCATCAGAGATTAATGTTTTAATAAACTGCTAACAGGAAATAGGCAGGTCCTCACAAAAATATCTACTCAAGGATGTGCAGGTCAGCCTTTCATGCTTTATCACTTATTCACCCATGAGAAGTTGGAACTCCTGAATGGTTGGCAGTGTGTTGAAAGTTGGTTACCAACGTAGGACAAGAAATAACCGTGCAGGGAGGCTAATCTTATGAAAAGTATCATGAATTTTGAATGTAGCCCTTACTATGAAAAAAGATGATTAGTTTATACACAAGTTTCCATTCAATGAATATACTGACAGTGCAATGCATTTTTTTGAGCCAAAGATAAAATAGATGTTAATAGCACTTAATGAAAGGAAAAACTCAAACATTTATTCTGTTTTTCATGAAATATAATGAAATGGGCCTAGGCAATGAGCCATTATTACTACTAGTGATTAAGTAAAAAGGGGCAATTTTCATTAATGACTAACTGAAAAAACAATTATAATTATTAAGTAAAAGGCCAGAAAACTTTATAATGGAAAAGAGACATAATGGAGATCTTTCATTATAAATTGTATAATTATTAACATTATTTGGACACACCAATCTACCTGAACTTCACAAAAACAGAACAGGCTTAAATATATGCACAGCTGTGTAGAATTGTTTTCAA